ATCTGAAAGTGATTGTGAATTGTGATTTTCCTGTTAACTTATGCCTGTTTTGTCTTCGATGTGGTCATGTTATTCGTGACCCTGCTAGTGGGGGAGGTTATAAACGCTAGCACATGTTGACATGTAGTGATAGAGCCGGTTCGTTCAACCCAGCTAGTGGGGGTTATACACCAGCAAATCGTGGCCCTGCTAGTGGGGATTATACACTGGCCGTGATCTATAGAGGAGACGTCTATATCGTTCTCGTACTGTATCCGTTTTGCGTGATTGCACATGTTGGCATGCTATAAGTTTAATTAAGGGCAATCCACATTTACTTACTGAGTTTATCTCATAGTTTTTCCTTGTCCATCATTTCAGGAAGTAAAACCGAGGACGGGGAAACCACGGGAAGTGACGAGTTAGAAAGCTAGCCATTTCGAGATTGATATAGATTCTAGAAATCATGATCTTGTAAGCTAGAGTGTACTTGGAGATTTTATGATATTAGAGATTTTATAATTTGATCTTCAGATTTTGATGGTATCAGAGTGTGAATATGATAAGTTCCGAGCCTTGTACATTTGTGGGACCCTCTCACGAGTGCACGGCGTCTGTTGCGTCTCGAAATTGGGTTTTGGGGCGTGACAGTTTACACCATAAATTTTAAAATTTTAAGATAAAGTCACGTGTAAAATATTTTTTAGTGGATGGAGGAGATTAGGCTAGGTCAGATTCGTAATTCTATGTCCCATGACAGATTAGCTGTCATTTTAGCAAAAAAAGGGGAGATAAACTTGAGGTTTTACTGTGTAATTATCTTTTGGAGTTAAAAAGGGGCTGTTTAAGCTAAAATGTAGGAGAGGATTGTAGTTAAAGAGGGGTTTTATCTGATAAAGAAACAGATGCCGAAAATCTGCAAGGAGATAAGACTAAGTCAATTAGTGAGCTGTCCCATTATCTCAAGAAACCACCCATGATTGTGTAATTGCAGAAAGTGGAAGTTACTACCAGCACAAGGAGAACAAAAAGGAAATTTTGGAAGGGAGAACACACGGCCAACCCTACTCAAACATCTGCAAATTTTCAGACTTTTATTTTCTCTGCAAAATGCTTCCAGATTTTGGATTTCAGCACAAATTCCAATAGATTTAGGCTGTTTTTCATCATTCCATTAGGCAAATTAGTTTATGTGCTCAGTTCAACAATTTCCTTTCATGCAATGAACTTCAATCTTTCAAGTTTATGCAAGGTACTGTTCTCTTTCTATTTGCAATTAATTTGATGTTTATGATAAATAGCATTTTATTCAATGATTACTTATGTGGTGTTCACATTTCTTTTCAACTTCAAGCATGTTAGTTTAATTACTGTTCATGTTAATTTTAGTGTTAATTAGGGTAAAATATTTAATTCTGCAGCATTTTAATTTTCAAATCTGCTAGTAGATAGCATTTTAATTTACATTGCAAGTTATTTAGTTTAATTAGGATTTGTTAATTTTAAGTCACGGTAGTGTTTAAGTCCTTGGAGTTGTCGAAGGCAGATTTCGTAACCCATTTTGCAGGAAGGTATCCCTCCCTCTTGCAAATCGTCTATATGAGCAAATTTCAGTTTTAATCCAACATTCTTCCCGCCATCTGCAAGGAGGTCGACTATGAGGAAGGAGAGGGTTGTTGGGAAAGTTCTCCTTTCTTACTTTTAGCAAAGTAAGTGGCACGCCCACATCTAGATTTCACATGTGTGAGGCCACTAGAGGATTTTTGGGGAAACAATCTTTTTTTGGCACGCTCGGTGGGACCTCACCGTGTCGTACTTACAGTTTTCAGATCCATTCTTTTTTCCAAGAAAAAGTGTAGTTATGCCACCAAAAAGAAACATTGGGAAAGCTGCCCAGACTTTACAGATTGGGCTTGGTGAAGGCAGTCCAACACACTCAGAAGGAGAGAATGAGCCAATCATTCCACCACCATTGTCACCAATACTTGGGGAGCACTCTTTTGTCAATTCTACCTTCAACAAGGATAGTGAATCTGGAGATGATGTTGCTTAATCTGGTGATTCTCTTATGAAAGTTGTGTCAGAACAGATTAGCATCATGAGGCACACACAGTTGGAATTTGAGGCAAGAGCTCAACAAAGAAGCCAGGAGGTTGCTAGATAGCTAGATGAGTCTTTTCAGAATTTGGCTTAGAATTTGGCTCAAAGTGTAGCTAATATGCGATGCTCAAATGAAGAAAGCGCCAAAATCTAGCGCGAGCAAAATGCAGAAAATTGGAGAGCTTTCCAAGCTGAAACAAAATGAATGCAGGAGGCATTTTGATGTGCCAAAATTGAACCTCAACCACAAGCAGCAGATCTTCAAAAGCAGAATCAGAATATTCCAGCTCCAGCATTCGGGGGGCAAGTTAATTTGCCATAGCCGCTTCCCCAAATTCAGCAAGTAGCAAGCAGACTAGTGCAACCAGATCCTATTGAGGCAGCACCATGTGCAGCAGATCTGGGAAATCACCAGTAGCCCAGATATCAGCCACCTCCGCATCGACCAAATGACACCCACAACATAATGCACCTCCACTAAGGGAGCATTTTCAACCTTATGTGCCACCCATGCAATAGAATCTTCAAGGTCTATCAGGGCAGTACATTAATCGCGATCAGATCATCGATATGGTGTAGGAGGCTTATTGTCCAAAAAACCATATCCAGATTTTATAGACCAAGAGAATCCTTTTCCATGGGGGTTCAAGGTTTCAGAATTCACTTTGTTTTCTGGAGATGGTGGATATTCTACAATTAAACATATAGGCCACTTCACAATTCAGTGTGGCGAGACCTCCGGTGATGATAATTTGAAGCTCAGACTTTTTCCCAGCTTTTTAACTATTACAGCTTTCACCTAGTATTTGAGTCTGCCACAAAATTCAGTTTGCACTAGGAGGCAGATGGTGGATCTTTTCCATATCCAGTTTTACTGTAGTGAGCTAGAAGTGTCCATGGTAGATTTATCTCGTCTGGTGTAGCGTCTTGGAGAAACATATGAGGCATTTCTTGCTAGATTTTGGAAGGCCAGACTTAAGTGCAGAGTTGCCTTGCCAAAACAAGAATTTGTCAAGCTGGCACAAAATGGTCTAGACATTGAGCTGAGGAAAAAGTTTGAGGGAATGGAGTTTCGTGATTTCTTTAAGTTGTCTTACAAGGTGGCTCGTTATGAAAATTTATTGCAAAAGGACACACAAAGGAAATCTGCATCTCATGGGACTTACTATGGTGATGCTAACTTTGATCTGGACATGGCAGAAGTGGTGGCAGACAAGCCAGTTGTTTGCCTAGATTTGATTAAAGTGGTATAACAGATCGACAAAATAGTAAAACATTATGTCGGAGAAGCTGGAAAATAATACACCTTTGACATTTCAAAGACTAATGGAATTTTTAACCACCTTAAAAAGAGTGGTCTAATTAAGTTGCCGCCGAGGCATAAAATCCCAATGGCTAGTGAAATTGGAAATAGAGAATATTGCAAATATCATAATTCTTAGAAACATTCTACTAATAATTGTATGATTTTTCAGAATGTTTTACAAGATAAAATCAATAAGGGAATTTTGCATTTTCCAAATAAGGCCAAAGAAACTATGGGAGTTAATGCAGATCTGTTCCCTAGCATGTTTGTTGGGGTGAATGCAGCAAATTTCAGGAGCATTGCCAGAGACAACTCAGCCATACACTAGGTGCAACCTTGCAGCTGATGATTTGAGGTGGGTCATTGAGGAGGCAAGGGCCCGTAGAAATCAGGTCAGATTAGGCTCATACCAAAGGAGACAGCCCGGGGGGCACAACTCAACTCAACAGAAAAATAATGCAAATAAGAGAGCTGCAATATCTAGACGCATAGAAAAGCCCAGAATGGTGAAACCACCACTCAGATCTCCAAGCAAACGATGGGAACGTGTGGTGCATCCAAAATTTCCTAAGGGTCAAAATCCAAGGACCTTGAGGAGGCGCTTACAACGTAAAAGGGCAACAAAAAGACACTGACAGCAAATTGCAGACTCGGCGGGCATGGCAGATCAGACTCAGCCGTTCCCAGCAAGAAGAAAATCAGTGTGGGTCTGTAAAAAAAAAAAAATGAGTACATCTGGTCAGAATTCTCCAGAAAAGGAGGAACCACCTAAAAGTCCAACACCGCCTCGAGTTTTGGCTGTGAAATCAAATGAAGAAACCGATTTAAAAGCGAAGATTGACATGTTAGCTAAAGAGGAAACTTCATCAGATGTAATTCATTTTGGTGAGTTTTCCGTGAATTTATCTTGTTTGGTGATCACTCTTCCTTTGGTTTTTCAAGCTAGAGAGTAGTTAGAATCCACAGTCTGTCAACAAACAGATCCAATTGAGGAGGAAGAAGTCATTGAGATCCCAACTAAAGAAGATGGAGATTTGGATTCAACAAATAAAATTATTTTTGAAAAACCAGAAGAGAGAATGGCCAGACATATCAGGCCATTATACATTCATGCACATCTGGATGGTATGCCAATAAGCCGAGTTCTGGTTGATAATGGAGCAGCTGTGAATGTTTTGCCAACTTGTATGTTGCACAAAATTGGCAAATCTTTGGGTGACTTAATGGAGATAGAAGTGACAATCAGTGACTTTACTGGTGGGGTAAATCGCTCAAGGGGAATTCTGCCGATAGAACTGACTATTGGGAATAGAACTCTCATGTGTGCATTTTTGTGGTTGACTCCATTGCCACTTATAATGCATTGCTTGGGAGAGATTGGATACATTCCAGTTGGTGTGTTCCTTTAACTCTGCATCAGAAATTGATATTTTGGAATGGTGGTAGAATTGAGGTTGTGACAGCAGATGACAAGCCTTTTGTGGCAAATACCAATGCAGTGGAAGCTCGTTATTATGGTGAAGATATTGGGACTATCCGTTTCTTTGGGATGGACTGTTATGGCAGACCTTCTGGAATTACTACCTGCACTAGATCTACATTAGACAGATTGACTGTGAAAGAGGTTTGTGATGAACTTTTTCGGCCGACAGCAATTGTTCCTTTTAGGCCGAGGAAGGAACTTGAAATTGAAGAAATTCCATAAACGAGGATCGTATTAAGCACCAGAAAAAGGAGGCCGTGGAAGAAATCAAAAGAAAATTAGCGGCCTACCTTGCAGAAAAATGGATTTGTGTAGATAGATCTGAGGTAGTCTATGAAGGAGAAGAGGATGACTCAAAGGATCAAATAACACTAGAGGAATTAGATCTGGCACCAGCAAAACTCGATGATCTGAAGGCAGAAGTACAAGATCCCCTAGAGGAAGTGAATCTAAGTACCGAGGCAGATCCGAAAATTACTTTCATTAGTGGTTCTCTTGAGCCGTGTTTGCATGATAAAATCATTAATATCTTGCATGAGTACAAGGATTGTTTTGCTTGGGATTATTCTAAAATGCCAGGTCATGACAGAAATTTGGTGGAGCATAGATTACCCATTAGAGAAGACTTTAAACCTTTTCAAGCAGTCGCCTAGAAGAATGTCTCCAAAAGTCACTTTGAAAGTTAAAGAAGAAATAGAGCAGCTACTAAAGGTTAGTTTCATCAGAATCTCTAGATATGTGGAGTGGTTATCTAACATGGTCCCCATGGTAAAAAAGAATGGCAAATTGAGAATCTGTGTGGACTTTAGAAATCTAAATTTGGCAACACCAAAAGATGAATATCCTATGCCTATTGCAGATTTGCTGGTGGATGGCGCAGCATGTCATCGAATTCTGTCATTTATGGATGGCCACAGTGGGTATAAGTAGATTTTTATAGCAAAAGAAGACATCCCAAAGACCGCTTTTCGCTGCCTAGGAGCTATTGGTACGTATGAATGGGTAGTAATGCCATTTGGTTTAAAAAATGCGGGTGCAACTTATCAAAGAGCCATGAACGCCATCTTTCATGACATGATTGGCCGTTTTATGGAGATTTATATTGATGATGTGATTGTGAAGTCTAATGAGGTTGAGGAGCATCTGGTGCATTTAAAGTTGGCTTTTGAAAGAATGATGAAGCATGGTCTGAAGATGAATCCTTTAAAATGTGCATTTGGCATTTCTATTGGAAATTTTCTAGGATATCTGGCGCATGAGCGAGGTCTGGAAGTAGATCAAAATAAGGTAAGAGCTGTTATTGAGGCACAGCTACTAAAAAGTAAGAACGAATTACAAAGATTTCTTGGGCAATTAAATTTCTTGAGATGTTTTATTTCAAATATGGCAGGAAAGACAAGAGTTTTTTCACCACTACTGAAGCTGAAATTAGAAGCAGATTTCAAGTGGGAGAGGCACCATCAGACCGCCTTTGAAGAAATAAAGCATTATTTATTAAAGTTGCCGGTCTTAATGCCTCCTTTAAGAGGCAAACCTTTGATTTTGTACATATCTACCGCAGATGAATCTGTAGGTTGTCTACTAGCTCAAGAAAATAGTAAAAAGCAAGAACAAGTTGTTTATTATTTGAGTTAAAGTTTGTCACAGACCGAAGTAAATATTCTTCAGTCGAAAAGTTATGTCTTGCTTTGTTTTTTGCTGCAATAAAATTGAGGCATTATTTGCTTTATGCCAAGGTTTATGTTATTTCAAAAACAGATGTGATAAAGTACATGTTGTCTCGACCACTATTGAGAGGCAGAATTGGAAAATGGGTTATGGCTTTGTCAAAATTCAACCTGAAGTACATGCCTCAAGGCAAGCCTTGGCAGATTTCCTAGTAGATCATCCGTGCTTGGAAGTAGAAGTGGATGAGGAAAAAGGTATTGATTTATTTTCCATAAATCTAGTTCCATGGAAGCTTATCTTTGATGGATCTAGCACAGATTCCATGTCTAGAGCAGGAATTGTTATTATTTCTCCAGCTGGTTTGAAAACCCAGATGTCATTTCAGCTAGATTTTAATTGCACCAACAACCAAGCTAAATATGAGGCATTGATTATTGGGTTAGAAGTGTTGGTAGAACTCAAGGTACCTATGGTAGAAATAATTGGTGGTTCACAATCAATTTTAAAGCAATTAGAAGGTGAGTACAAGTGCACTAGTTTGTCTTTGGCGCCTTATTTTGCTTTGGCAATACAGCTCTTGGAGGAATTTGATGATGTAATCTTGAGGCATGTCACACGAGATCTGAACACAAAAGCAAATGAGATGGCACAAATCGCCTCGGGCTTAAAAATCCCAAAAGGCGTGTTGAGCAGAATTGTTGTTGTGGAAAAATGAATTCTGCCATTTATTCACATGCATGGTATGGTAATTTTTGCTTGTTCCATAGACGTAACCCAGACAAATTGGCGCTATCCGATTATGGAATATCTTAAAAATCTAAATTTTAAGGCTTCAAGAAGAACAAAAATGCAGGCCTTGAATTATGTTCTGTTGGAATGTGTCTTTAGAAAAGAGGGCATGATGAATTACTTTTGCGCTGTCTTGGTCTAGATGAGTATTGCCAAATTATGTTAGATGTGAATAACGGGATTTGTGGTGCACATCAGGTTGGAATTAAAATGCGTTGCTTGATCTGTGGACATGGATTCTTTTGGCCATCAATTTTGAAAGATTGCATCAGTTATGCCAAAGGTTGCAAAGCCTGCCAAATTCATGGACCACTGCAGAAAGTTCCAACATCGAAACTCCATCCAATTATCAAACCACGGCCATTTCGAGGATGGGCCATAAATCTTATTGGTAAAGTTTATCCTCCTTCAAGTAGACAGCATTCTTTTATTATTGTTGCTACAGATTACTTTACCAAATGGGTGGAAGCAAAGCCAATGAAGAAGGTTGACCAGACTGATATTATTAAATTTCTTAAGGAAGATATCATTCACAAATTCGGTCTGCCAGAAACAGTAACATCAGATCAGGAGACAGTTTTTGTTGGTGCACAAGTCGAGGTGTTTGCAAAAGAAATGGGTTTTCGATTACTCACTTCAACCCTTCATTATGCTCAAGCCAATGGTCAAGCTGAAGCTTCCAACAGAATTGTGATAAATCTGCTTGAAAAAATGGTTGATGATAATCCAAGGCGTTGGCATGAGCTGTTATCTGACACAATCTGGGCTTACAGAACTTCACAAAGGAGTTCTACCAAGGTAACTCCTTTCTCTTTAACTTATGGACATGATGCTGTTCTACCCATGGAGTTGTCTATCAGATCATTGCATATAGTGATTCAAAATGGTCTCACTTCTGGAGAATATAATGAGGCAATGATTTTAGAGTTAGAAGATCTTGAAGGCATGCAATTGACGGCCTTAGATAAGCTGCAAATGCAGAAATTAAAAATGGCTCGAGCATATAACAAACGGGTGAAATCCAGAAGTTTGGCAGAAGGAGATCTGGTATGGAAAGTAATTTTGCCACCTGGAAAGAAAGATCCCAAATTTGGGAAATGGTCTCCAAATTGGGAAAAACCATTTCGTGTACATAAAGTGCTTAAAGGGGGAGTATACTGGCTTGAGTCATTAAATGGAGAGTTACATCTTCGAAAAATAAATGGAATCTACCTTAAGCCTTACTATCCTATGATATGGGAGGCTAGAAGTCTGGATACCATGAATTCTACCTGAATCAGATTTTGAGGTAGGAATTGTATAGTATTTTCCTTTCATTTTAGCATTTTTCAATTCAATAATAGTGTTGAGCCGAATTTGTAAGTAGGCCAAATTTGGCTGAGAGCAACCAAGGTGGCCAGATTTTTGGCTATGATAGATTTCAACCTGTAGCAGAGTATGAACAGAATATGCAACAAGCAGATTTCCAAAATATGAGCAAAGAAAAAGATCAACATTGAAAAGGAGTTTGCATGGCCAATAGGCCGCAAACAATAAGTTCAAGGGTCACAATAGGCAAGTTCAACTAACAAAGACAAAAATAGATACATATAAGAAGAAATCAACAAAAGTTGCTTTGCCAACTATTCCATTCTTCTCTCATGTTCTTGAGTTCTTCAGCGGCTTCATCTGCAGAAGCTATGAAAGAAGGGAGTTGATGTTTGATCTTGGAAACAGATTTCAAGCCAGCCTTCATATCTGCATGGAGCTTGTTCCGTTGTTCTGCTAGATTCTTTTCCATTTGCTCCGCAAGAAGAACTTGGCTTCTTAATTCTGCAAGCTTGGCTTCAAGGTTAAAAATTTCTTCCTTGAGATCATGGAGATGTTTGATCTGTGCCACATGAGCAACCTTTGCTACCAGGAATTCTTCCTTTTTCTTAAAGATCATGGCAATGCCATTGCTACAGACTTCCTGACAGATTCCGTAGCTGCTACCTTGCTCTTAAGTGCCAGGAATTTCTTGTTGAAGTCTGCATAAATGATAGAGAAATTTGCCCAAAATTTGTGTTTAGCAGAAGACGGATGTGGAGCTTGATTAACAATTTAAGCTGCTTCAAAAGCGGCTGGTTGATCTGGCACCTTGCAAAAGTGAGAAGGATCACCATCAACAAGCTATAGCAAGGTTAAAATGGCGAAGTTAATCTGCTCTTGGGAAGGGGGATCAATATCCAGATTTGTCTCCTCAGCAACAGATTTCCCTTTGCTATCCTAAGCAGATTCTGATTTGACACATGGGTCCATCAACATGTTTAACCTAGTAAGAAGCTCATCCTCCAAGTCATCATCAACCACAGAAACATCAACAGCAAAGCTCTACACAAATATGAAAGCAAAAGTCCAAAATTAATTGACATGTGGCTTGGGTAATTAAGGGGATGAAGATAATTTATTTAATTAAAACACTTGGATTTATTTTCATAAAACCAAGTGTTGGGGGGCATTGTTTACACCATAAATTGTAAAATTTTAAGATAAAGCCACATTTAAAATATTTTTTAGTGGATGGAGGGGATTAGGTCAGGTCAGATTCGTAATTCTCGATCCCATGACAGATCAGCTATCATTTTGGCAAAAAAAGGGAGATAAAGTTGAGGTTTTACTGTGTAATTATCTTTTGGCATTAAAAAGGGGCTGTTTAAGCTAAAATGTAGGAGAGGATTACAATTAAAGAGGGGAGTTATCTAATAAAGAAACAGATGACAAAAATCTACAAGGAGATAAGACCAAGTCAATTGGTGAGTTGTCCCATTATCTCAAGAAACCACCTATGATTGTGTAACTGCAGAAAGTGGAAGTTACTATCGGCACAAGGAGAACAAAAAGGAAATTTTGGAAAGGAGAACACACGGTGTCATAACCCAATTTTTCATTCAGTTTATTTAAGCTTTTCATATAAAAAGAAAAAAAAAATATATATATATATATTAATCACAAAAATTAATTTAAAAAAATCAAAAGAATCAAAAATTATGA